ACACCGAGATGTCGACTTGCCTCGCGCCTGTCGTTGATGTTTTTAGAGGTGGGGAAGAGAACCTAGCTGCCTAGCCATGTCCTGACTAGGAGATGATCGTCGGTAGCCTAAGATAGGTTTTCTTAGCACAAGGGCTCTCTCTGGTTCGACCACGCGCGCATCCGGCACGAAGGCCCGAGGATCGAAAGGTCCGCGCAGTTGCGAAAGCCATGAGATCCAGAGACAGGGTATTGAAAACACCAGGCCAGCAAGGCCTGGGGGGGACCAATCTTACTTCCAGGGGCAACGTCATCCTGCGAAGGGGCAGGCCCTTGCATCGAATATTGTACCGCAATCTGTCTGCCGTGTGCGGGTGCGAGGCAGTCTTCCCCCAGCATCACTGTCTATGCAGCTCTCTGAACTTTGTTTGTCCAAGGCAAGGAGGAGGAACTAGGCTGAGCACTCCCAACTCAGGCTAAAGGGGCAATGATTGAGGACTTTGGGGTCATTGGACACTATTCCAAGGTGTACCTCGTACACGGGGTGGCAAGATGGTTAGCAAAGTCAAGCCCAGATGGCAGTTCCCAGACGAGCCGATGGCCGCTCTCAGAAGTTAGGCCGCCTGCAAGGAGTCCGAATTACGTACAGGTGATTGGCACACACATCCTCAGCATGTGAGACGGACTGAACGGGATGGGAGGATAAGGACCGCAGGATGAAGGTTTTGGAAACTGCTGCCGCAGGGAAGTGAAAGGGCACGGACAATGGGTATCTCAATGCAGCAAGGGGGGCGGCAGGCAGCTGAATGTAGTCATTGACTTTTGGGTTGGGAGAAGAGTTTTGTCGTGTGTCGGCTCCCCGCCTTTGAACATTTCCAGCTTTTTCCAGCTTTCCCACCTTTGTAGGCCTTGCACCATTCCACATTGGATTGTTTGTGGATGGAAGTGGATGATGCGGACAGCCATTGTTGGGCTGAGTTTGCTGTGTTTGTGGAGTTTGTGCTTGACAGATGGCGCTAGTGAAGTTAGTAATTCTAGGGTAGTCAGGGGGCCACTAGGGGTTTACGAGTCCAATTAGATATACTCAACCTTGCCCATCGCCGACTAACCACCCAATGATATCCACCCCCCAAGATGCACGTCAATGCAGCTCCCCCATGCGAGCCACTTGACTCCGTACACCGAGATCCATCCCTTGCGTGCTTGTCGCAGCCACCATTTCGGATCCTTGTTGCCGGCATATATTGGTCTCTATCGATTGGTTGCTGAGGATGCGCCTCTACTTGTGGTCGCCACTCTCTGCTGCATTCGGTGTTGCGATGGCTTGGATGCAGAGATGCCCTCGCCCACAAAGGGATTCGAGATACGGGACATGGCTTTTGCCTCAATCCATGCCAGCCGCAAACATCTCAAATCATGCATTTCGGACTCCATCGCTCACCCTGAGCGTTGACAAACGTGGTCCATTTATACTCCTCGCGACCCTGGAATGTTCCCCTCTGTTCGTCCACCCGTCACGCAGGCCCTTGAAATGAGGTGCATTGACCTAGCTACTAATTTACCTGTCCTCAACCTTACGTGTTTGTCAACAAACTTGACTTGGATATTTCTGTTTACCTGAAACCCCTTCAAGAACAACACGTCCTGGATACCTCGGTATCCATTGGATCACTCGCTGCCCATGTTGCAGGCAAGGCTGGACATTCTCTACATGCGAGACACCGAGGCGACCATGGAAACATCGGAACCGATCATGGCGCTGCCGCCTATTGATGGCCCGGTTGGCGTGCCTCTGCTTGCTCGAGATACGACTCCCAGACTCTCGCAGATGTCTCAAATCACCCTCGAGAGCTCCCAACCGGAATGGCATAATTACGGCGAGCCTTGCCCCAGCCCTAATGTTCCAACAGGCTGTGATCCCACCTCCAGAGCACACATGCCTCAGTTCCGGCAATCCCGAAGATGGGCCAAAATGTATGCCTGGTCGCGCGCAGAAATGGAGGCAGCTCCAAGTTCTCTTGACCACCAAAACCGCTCTCCAGCTAGGAATCGTTACTCTTCGGTTGCCGTCAGCAATCAACATGTCGGACGCCCACTCTCTTTACAGCCACATTACGGTCTACCCAGAGCCATGGCCAAGAGTCTTGGACGTCCAAAAGCCCGCCGAAACATCAGCGATGCCAGCGCGGGTTCTCCTCATGGCGGCCTCTGCGTGCAAAGCGCCGCTTATTACTGGCGATGCGTCAAGCCTCTCATCAGCAAGGTACCTCGCGCGGGCTCTAACGTGTGGCCGAGCAGACGCACCGGAACTCGAAAAGCGACCACGAGACGCCAGGATGCTGCGGGCCGACGCCCCTCAGCTCTAGTGTTCGTGCCCACTCATTCGAGGCGCGCAAGCACCCTGGAAAGCGATAGTCACCCAACCTGTTGCGAACCAAGCATGACTCTCACCAACGGGGTCCTTGGATCATGCCTTTTGGAACATGGTGGGTGTACCGGGCTTGCAAGCTCGTCGTCGATGCCCTCACTTCGTGGTCCAGTCATCAACGACAGGTTTTCAGACCAAAGCAGAACTGTATTGAAAAACGTCAAAGTCGATAACGATCGCTCGCTTCCAACCACCTCGACGGTGCCTTCTGTCGTCGTGCGATCAACAACAACAAGTAAACATATTTCACACGATTTCGCTCCAACATCAGAGAAACCTGTCCGTAGACTCGTACCCTCTGAATATGCCTTTAAACCACTGCCACCATCACCAAAAGAATCGACAATTTCTCTTCTGGACGACAAAGTCAGCCCGGCCGTCGCAGCTCAGCCCCCTCAGCACCGGGAATTAGCAGCTCAAGCTTCAAAAAACACTCTCAGCAGTCTTGACACCGTCCTTCACAATGCGCAGAAAGAGTCGCGGTCAGTGGTTTTATCTTCAGGCCAATCTCGTCAGATGAATTCGCGACTTCAGTCCCATGGCTCCACCCCCAACTTGAAGCCCAGGCCTACACATACAGGGCCTGTAATTCGTCTCTCTTCTGCTCGTTCAGCCAAAAGCGCCAATACTCTGGCAGGAATAGAAGCCCAAGTCCAAAAGATGGCGCACTACACCATCGATGTGGAAATCAAGCGAAATGGATCCGTGGATTCTGATAGTCGGTACAGCGGACCTCCTCCCACCATACCACTGCCTGCGTTACCGCCTGAAGCACACGATGCAAAACTTGGTGCCGCCAAACCCTCCCAAAACTTGTCCAGGGTGGAAGGAGGTCGTGATGAAAGTTTGCAAATTTGTCTTCACCTCGAGCACCATTCCATTCAAAGCACTCGAGCTGACAAAGTCCGAGAACGGAGGATGCGCGATCTTGCCAAGTCACGCAGTCCTAGGAGCAAGCTTGACACTGTCGGAAAGCATCAAACTTGCGAGAAACCCTCCGTCTCCAAAACACCAAAAGCTCTCACATACCAAGCCGATGAACTCGATCGGTTCCCTGCCGTCCCCGAGTCGCGACCAACAAGTCTTTCGACTGCGTCCTGCTATAGTCGCCAGCACAGCCCGGAAATGAGAATTCGTCAACCAGGTCGCTTGTCCAAAGCCAAATCAAGCGAAACGCAACGGAACACGCCTCAGAAACTCAGTCAGAGCAATATCTTCGTCGTCGTCGATACTGATCCTGTCACCGCGCGTTTCCGCGCCGGCGCCGTAAGCCCAAGATTCAGCATTGCAGGCAGCGCCGCTGGACCAACAAGTCCGAAGACTACACGAACCCCTTCAAAGCTCAGAGAGGTCATGGCCAACAGGCTGAGTCTTTGCGAGAGTCCAAGACGAGGTGCTGTTCTCGGTAGCCCAATGGAAAGCCCGAGACGCAAAGCTGCGGGAACCAGCCCGTTAGGGGAGCAAGCTCTCAAACTCCGTCGCTCACGTTCCTACTCGAGCGGCCAAAGCATGTCCCCTGGGAGAATCGACAGCCCAACTCCGAGCAGTTCTAGTGAAGACCAATGGCTGACGCCCGGGGAGAAACTCTCGCCAGTTAAGCCAAGCAGCCAACAGAGGAAACGTCGACGATGGAACAGCGGTGACATTAATCTCGTCAGACAGCTGCATCAAGACCTGCACGACTACTATGTGACAATCTTGGAGCAAGAAGAGAAGATCAAGGTGCAGGCCAGTCAAATACAGACCATTATGAATATGTTTGCACCAATGAAACATACTCACGGCCGGCAAGACTCTTTATCTCTTCAGGACTCCCCTGGTCGGGACACCCATTCAGGCCATAGACAGATCAGAAAGTGTCGAAGCGCACTCGCTGAGAGGCGACCGCCAAGTTCCGGTTCTCGTTCTCGCTTTCCGCTAGATCGTATCAACGAACGGACTCTCAACATCCAAAGCCACAAGGTAGTGGACAAAAGCGATGCAGCGAGCACGGCCCCGTCCTCGGATACGATGTCGCTGGCGTCGCTCAGAGCTAGTGCTTCTGACACGTCTCTGACAGAACAGGAAAGACTTACAGCGCCCAGTCGCAAAGGAAGTTCCGACGTGGAGAACTGGGGTTGGATATGAATTATACGCAACGATATTGATTGGACACTTACGAGGACATGTGTATTTGTGGGGGCAATATCTGAAGTCAAAACTTGGTCGAACAGGAAAGGTTCTCAAGGGAAGGGGTGCCTCTAACTGGCAGTTGTTAGATTAAGCATCGCTTTAATGATGAAAAGTAATTCCGAATGAGAGGATAAGAGATTATGAAATGAGCCATCTCCATGCACAGCGGGGCCTTCATGGTCTCCATCCGCAAAACGGTGACATCGGTCAATTGTTGTAGGTAGAAGATCCTGGTCGAAAAGATACATCGGTCACGTGTCAGGCTGATGCCAAGCACTACAAGGCTGTGGCGACGGTCATGACTCGGGCCTGAAAACTGACTGAACATCATCTTCAAAAGTTCATTAATTCTCTGACAAACGAAGAAGAGAAATATAGCGCTTCGTCATTCCGGTACAGATCAGAAGCAAAATACAAGAAACATGTCCACCAGCGCCAACGACACCCACAAACCATTAACATCCCTCCCGTTCCCTCCCATCACCCCATCTCACATCCTAAACTGCTCTTTCCACTCATGGTATCCCCGTTTCCGTTCTCTGACACCCAAATCCCGTCTTATTCCTCTCTCTCAGCCATTCCTGGACTATCTACGCGCCGATGGCATAATCCTACCACCCGAGCGCGGGCCTAGCGATGCGGACAGTGGGTTTGAAGACGGGTTCCAAAACGACGACGAAGATGAGAACGAAGATCCTTCGGAACAATGGGCCGATATACATTCCAAGATCCGTTCTACGATCTCCGAACTAGGGGGCAAAGTGATGCCGAAGCTCAACTGGTCAGCCCCCAAGGACGCCACCTGGATTGCGACCACAAATGACATGGAATGTCGAACTCCAAATGACGTGTATCTGCTACTGAAGTCAAGCGACTTCGTCACGCATGACTTGGAGCACGCTTTTGACGGATGCACCATCGCAGAGAATACGAATAGCGCCGATCGAACCGAAGGTGATTGTGGAAATGCCTCTGGCGATAGCAAGGAGAAAGCATTTCCTGAAGTGCCCTACCATCTTGTACTGCGGAAAGCATTCAATCTGAATCCTTCGCTGGAATTTCGCTGTTTCATCCGAGAAGGCAGACTGATTGCGATAAGTCAGCGAGAGATGAACCACTTTGATTTCCTCTTTGATCTGCGAGATTCTTTCAAAAAGTTGATCCAAGAATTTTTAGAGCAACATTTGCTACCTGGTGGCGGAGGAAAGACCTTTCCGGACGAGAACTTCGTGGTGGACGTCTACATTCCACCACCACACGACCGTGTGTGGCTGATCGACATAAACCCTTGGGCACCACGAACGGACCCATTACTATTCTCGTGGCTGGAGTTGTTGCAACTGCCGATCCCAGAAGCGTCAGGGCCAAAATCGAAAATTAGAGAAGGACTAGATTGCGCAGATCGAGAAGGGGGCGAGGAATATGAGGACGACGAAGAAGAAGAAGAGGAAGATGTGATCTTTGACCCCGAATTTCGACTTGTGAAACGCGACGATCCAGAGGCGTATCAATTCTCGGCGACAAAGTACTCGGCTCATAAACTACCCAAGGAAGTCGTCGACGCGAGCATGACGCCAGGAGATATGAAGAACATGATGGAGGAGTGGAGGAAAGTCATTGACAAGCAGGTCGCAGAAGACGATGACTCGGACTCGGACGAGGAACATACTTGAGCAGCATTAAGGAAATGAAGACATCTTTGTTCTCTCAACCGTCGCAAGGATCTATACATCTTAACCACGACCTACAATATCGGTTTCTTACGAGAGATATGCACCTCCCCTCCCCTTTGAATCGCTCCGGGCGATGCAGCCGAAGGTGAAATCCTGCGCTTCCCTTTGGCTTGAGCAACAAGAACGATACAGAACGGCATGTGGCGAATACTCTGCGAGGATCTCGACGGAATGGCCATCTATCATCTTTCGGGCAGGTGGAGGGACGCCTGGAGTTGATCTCTTGTTCCGATACAGCTTCACAAGAGCGCTTTCGGCGAGATGAGCGCTCTAATCACCACAGTTTTCGTATTGTCGACCGTCAGTCATCGTGGTCGAGAATCTTTGGCTTCATGGCCCGTACCATGGTGGAGAGGCCCGCTTGGGCACTCCGTGGACTTGCTATATCGGCTTTCCGAGCCCCAAGCTTCCCGAACTGTATTGTCGCTCTACCGACGTTTTCCCAAGGCGACTAACTTCTCGAGGTGTTTGCGCTGCCATCCAGGTACCGGGGTATCTGCAACCTTCTGCCACTGGGATCCCAGCACACCTCTCTGAATCCCTATGGATGACGTCGGTGACGTGACGATTACCGTACCGTGGTTGAGGGATGGATGACGAAGGATTAATCAGAGGCAATTCATATTGTCCGTTCTAGCCGTCAATTGGGTTCGAACTAGAATGTATCTTGCCTTGCAGGAAGAGGACTATGCCAACCACCCACAATTACCCGCGTAACCATGCTTCAACGTTGGTCGCCTGAAAAATATGTTACCCAGCACACTTGTCCACAAGATCCCGGGGAAAGGATTCGCGAACCCGCACCCTCTTCGTATCTGAGACTAAGAGTGACTACCAATCTTGACAGCGTTTTATGTCGTCTGATGTCATAGTACAGACAGCGGAAGTGAGAAAAAGATCAATGGAGTTAGCAATGAACTCAGCTTGTATGGTTGACTCGGAGTCCGGACCTCCTGGCGCCACGTAAAAATTTCGCGTACACTCACAGCCTGCTCAAACACTGTCATCGCCGTCGTCAATGCATCCGGCCATGGTTTGGGCTTGTTGCCGCGGAAGGTGAAGAAACCATGCCCCGACTTCCACCTCATAGCATCGCCGATGTAAATGGATGGAGGTGGAATTAGATTTAGAGACCACTATGTGAGGAGAGAGCCTCGAGGATTATTTTGCGAGCCGGTCAAAGGGCCCTGACGGTGAGAATCACTGATGATGACGACGAGGGGGAGGCGAGGGACAATCAGGCCGTTATCGATAGCCAAATGATATTCGCGCTAACCACATACGGGAAAACACCAACAACGCGCAGCCAGAGCTAGAGTCTGCCACCCTGCGGCTTCATCACTGTTCAGACAGGACATCTTGCCATGATAGAACACCCCCTCCACTTATAGGTGCCGAAGCACTACAACAACAACAACAACAACAACAACAACAACAACGTCATCCAATCCCATACAGAATACATCCAACAATATGCCTGGCGAGGAGACCATCTTGGAGGGTCCCATGACGCCGGCCCCAGTATTCGCCTATCGCGCCATTCGAGGCATCTTCTTCGCCTCACCCGACTCCTCGCCCGATTCTTCGCCCGAGCATGGCGGCAAGGAAAATCTCGTGCCTTCGTACCCCTCATCGCCATCACCCAAACCAAAGCCTCTCGCAGAGCTCCAATTGTCACCGTCGCAGAAGCGAAAGAGGGGAAGCAACACCACAGGTGCGGGTAACATCCTTTCGCCTACAAAGGGCATCCTGCGGACGCCGGGACTGGCGACGCCGAGAGCAAAGTATCTGAAAGACATCAATGTCAAATTCAAGAGTGTCAGCCCCGAAGGCCCCAAATCAGCCACTCTGCCCGTCTCTCCCAAGCAGCTAAAGACCAAACTGCAGAACGCGCCACCGGCCCTTCACCCCTCGAAGTCCAGCATCGAGCTGGCATCACCCTCGAGGAAGAAGGCATCTTCCAAGTGGCAGGACCCACTGCAGGATGAGCAATTAACGGCACAGGGCATTCCTGCAACAACCGCAACTACCACCCCAACTTCGCCATGCATACTCTCTCGAGCCGCGATCGAAGCCTACATAACCCAAACCGAAAAGGAAATGAAGAAGTTGGTTCGCTACGGACAGAAAATGCGCGAGTACGCGCGCAAGAAGGATGCGGAAAACCAGGAATTGAAGGCCATGATTGAACAACTTCAAAGGGAGAACGAGAGGTTGAAAAGAGGCACGGTGTCCACGACTGATTGCCAGTTCAGCGCCAGCCATCCTCCGCAGCTACAGGTACAACCGAAAGATAACGGACAGGAGAGGAGGGCCAGTGTTAGGACGGTAGAGACGAGTGCGTCGCCAGCGCTCAGGCACAAACCTCGGGGATACGTCCGGGAGGAAGTCGATAGGGTCGAAACAACTGTGCGCAGTCAGACGACGAGGGACCCAAAGCCTCAGAGACACACTAGCTTGTCGAATGCTGTCACAACAGAACAATCAGCCGGCGTCTGCGAGCCGCCAAAATCTCCCCCCAGTGGCTGGGGCACCATAGCGAACGACCATCCACGCACGCTCAAGCGATCAACATCAACGCCGACGCCAAAACGAACAGCTTCGTCCTCGGCGAGGCTGCTCGTGTCCCTCCCCAGCAATTCACCTGCGTCTTCAGAGACAAAACCAGCAACAACATGCATGCGCTCCGCCTCGTCCAGCACCACTCTAGCCGTTAGACCAGCCACCACAAGGCTCCCACCAGAGCGCATCGCAGCAGCACGAGACCGAATCCGCCGGCGCAATGAAGCGAGGAAAGCAAGTGTTCAGGTTGACGTCGCTGCCTCGACCCCGGACAAGAAGGGCGAGGGACATGCTGCGCACAATGACCATCAACCACTCATGGAGCAAGAGATGGGAAAGCAACCGGAGGAACCTAGCGAGGTCGACTGGGCAAATCTCTGAGCCTGAATGTGTACTGTCTTGCCCACAAGCTGCCCAAGTCCGCAATTCCTCCTCCTTCTCCTGATAGGTGCTGCTACCGTGCAACCACACGTGTATGTACAATATGTATGTACGTAGATAGATAATCCGTCTCTCAAGCCATTTTGTTCCATATCGACATCGACGTTGATATGCTCATTTATCAGTCAAGGCATAATCGAACCAACCTATTCAAGTCCACGAAGGACAGACAAGGAGGAGACAAAGCTGGAAACAAAAGCTCGAAAGGGAAAAAAAAGCGAGGCTAGCTAGCTAGTGCATTTGGAGCCGGCAGGTACCTTCCAAGTCTACCCATCTGAGATACAGTACGAGGGACCTAGATGTGTCTGTTCTCTGGTAGCTCGTAGACATATCTACCTCCTCCGTCGCTGGATGCTGACTGGTGAGGGTGGATCCCGGTCATATTTTCTTCTTCGTTGAGAATGCAAAGTCTATATGGTATCATCTCAGTTTTGGACAAATAAACCCTCCCGACGCTCGTTGTATATGAGGCCGATTGAACTGAGTTGCTTGTCAACCAAGGCTCTCAGTGGCGACGGCCATTTCCCCGGTCTGCGTCCCTTGCGTCCGACTCAGAGTGGGATATTGGGCCTGCTCGCGTTGAAATTGCAGCTCGCGCTGTTCTTCAGCCTTCTTCGCAGCCTTGCGTTTCTTCTCCGCTTCCTCCCTCTCGCGTGTCTTGATGGACGAGTAGTTCAGGGCTGAAATGATCATGACTGGCATCATCGTTAGCGTTTGGACGTATAACTCATGGACATGGAATGGAATGGTGGCCGGAACAACTTACAAGCACAGAAACCTATCGCCAGCGCCGCGCGACGGGTCAACACCCACCGCAATCCCTCCACCTCGCTCCTGGCTTCACTATTCAGAAGAACCGTGATTTCATAGTTGAGTTCCGAAATTTTGCTATCGATCTTGCGCTTATCTTCCTGCAGACCCAGTTTGCGGTCGTTGAACAACCCCTTCAGTTCCTCCTTGAGCGTCATCAGGTCTTGTGTCACCTTTTGATTCAAAATGTCATACTCGTGCTGCAGCTGTGCCCGTTGGCTGCGCTGCTTGAGCGTCTCGGAATGTCGCGTGCTTTGCAGGGTGGTTTTCAGCTCGGAGCAAGCGGCGCGGAACAGGTAGGATTCGTTCTCAATGTCAGACTTGGAGACAAGGCCCTCCTTGGCGACGTCGAGATTTAGCGAGAGCATGAGCCGGATGGCTTTCATCAGCGTTATCGCTTGGTCGACGGTATAGGCGTCCTTAGCCGCCAACTGTTGGACGAGCGAGTAGGTGTCGAAATGATGCTCGTACGGAGATGGTTCGAGGTGTGGGTGCTTGGGCGCGTCCTTGCCTTTGACTTCTGACGGAGAGGGCACCGCGAGAATCAGGTCGAGCTCTTTGTTGTCCAGAGGTTTGTCATCTTCCACATTGATTTTGTGGCTTTTCGTGTTGATGGACGCCTCGTTAATATAGTCTGCGTTTGAAGCTTGAGGCTCATCCTGCCCGACTTCTTCTGCTGTGGGCGCATCTTTCGTGGCACCCGGTTGAGATTGTTCTTTGCTCTCTTTCGACTCGTCCTTTGCCTTTGCCTTCTCTCTGGCTTCTTGCTGAGGATTCGCCGGTTCCGAGGGTCTTGAAGGAGGCGGCAGGTTCTGGGAAGCAGCTGGTCCGTATCTCTGCGGGAAAGCGTCCTGCGGGCGCGGCGCAGAGGTATGGAGTTTCGCCTTGCGGCGTGGTTTGGCTGCAGCTGACGGGCGGGCACGAATTGAATGGTACGTGGTAGGCTCGCAAGCACGCACAGCGCGCAGGAAATTCGGGTATAGAAATGGCAGGCGTGGAGTCGCCATGTCTTCGTGAGCGGAACAGATCCCCGCGTGCAGAGCTCCTCGTCGCTGCTGAGTTATTGTGAAACTGGGTTTTCTATGCTAATATGCTCCGCAAGTAGAAAATGTGTTGTCATCGGCTAC